GCGGCAAGGAGGGAGCGCCGGGGAGCCCCCCAAGGCCTCTGCGGCCCCTGTGCGCATCCCTCCTCCACCCAGCCGAGGCTGGTGGCCTCCAGAGTTCCAGCGCGCGGGTTTGCAGGCCCCCGTTGCTGACCTCGGCCTGGCGCCCATCAGGGTGCTGCTCACGGAACAAGAGGCCCGTGGCCTTCCCACCGGGCACGCACAGCACGGCCTTGGCCTGTGGGCACAGGCAGTCGGCCCCACGCGCCCACTGCCGTCATCTCGGGTGTCCCAGAGGTAACGGGCACAACCGCCCCGCCGCAGGCAGACGTGGGCTTGCTGTCCTCACGCCCAGGCAGCACCTGATGTGAACCGACCCTTCCACAGAACTCGCGAAGCTGAGTCACTGGGGGACCAGCTTCAAGATAACACACCCCGCAGGGCTTTTCACGCGGGCAGGGCACCAGCTTCAGCAGGCTGGGAGAGCACACAGCCCTGCCCTAAGCACACCCTCCCATCCAGTGCTTGTGCAGCAGTTAACCAAGCCCAGCATTTTCTTCTCACTACAAGCATTCGGTGCTAAATCACATCTTTTCACTTTCCTCTTCATCTCCATCCACAGAACAGCAAAATCCAGGGTTTAGGCAGGACCCCTAAAGGAGCTTACACAAACGTTCCTCCCACAAACACACTTACTCCTTTCATAAGTTGCTATCAAAACTGTTTCTCGCTTGTTCTGCTTCTTACAGCCCTTGTCACAAGCCTGTTTTCAACTGAATCTATCTTACTTTTCCAGTTCAGGTACCTATTGCTACAAGGCGAGAATTGGGCTTGTTCAGCCTGGAGAAGAGGAGGCTCCGAGGAGACCTCATTGCAGCTTTCCAGTATCTGAAGGGGCTACAAGGGTGCTGGGAGAAGACATTTTACAAGAGCCTGTAGTGACAGGACAAGGGGTAACGGGTACAAATTGAAATCAGGGAGGTTTAGATTAGATATCAGGAAGAAATTCTTCCCAGAGAGGGTGGGGAGGCACTGGGACAGGTTGCCCAGAGATGTTGTGGATGCCCCATCCCTGGAAGTGTTCAAGGCCAGGCTGGATGAGGCTTGGAGCAACCTGGTCTAGTGGAAGGGGTCCCTGCCCATGGCAGGGGGGGTGGAACTGGATGGGCTTTAAGGTCCCTTCCAACCCCAACCATTCTATGATTCTATAAGGTGCTCATTCTTCACCTATTTCAGCACAACATCCTCACCAGCATTAACAGTGCACTGGCTTCTCTGGCAAATCTTGGGGGTGATCTTGCTTTCCTCCCCTCTTTGCCGGACCAGGCCCCCTCCCAGAGCTTCCGTACCAACCAGGATGAAGCTGTTCTAATATTTAGCTTAGGATACAGCACAATATTGACAGACAAAAAGCTACAGGGCTAATGTTGACTCATAGCACAGCAACTGAGCCACCAGGAAGAACAGAGATGGTCACGGAAAAGCACTCTGAAAGTCCTAAGAAGGTCAGGACAAGGACCATTTAATGCCTGAGGTGGAACACAGAGGAGGAGTTGTAGGCTTATTGTTCTAGATCATGCCACATGCATCTAGTGATATGTAAGGTGGCAAGTTAAATCATCTCACAGTGGATTGTACCAGAGGTTAGGTGCAGCTTATACACTAATTTTCTCCGTTGCTTTGTGCAGTCAGCTGTTTAAACAGGCAGGCTGAGCTGTACGGGCTCACTTTCCCTGCAGATAAATAGCATTCAGGGAACAGCTCAGGATAGGAACCTCTGCTAACATCAATTTGCACACTGCTACCTCTTTTAGTTTAGCTACACCCTCCCTCAGCAGTACTTTCTTCTTCCTGCACCTATTCTAACAATTAAAAGTTACATTCTTTGAAATATTAGTAAATAAGAGATCCAGTGGGATACTGAGGGTGGTGCCAGATGCTTTGCTAGCATCACATTAGAGGGTTTAACACTAAAACTATCCTTAGATGAAAAGTGGTACACGACTACCTGAGGGCACTTACTTTGCTTCCAATCTCACAGGGTAACTACCATCAGCACATGGTTTTGCATGCAAGCAAGCTGGGTGCACCGGCTTACTGTCCCTCAACGGAAGGAAGACAGTTTTCTTGCTGGAAACTAAGCCCAGGCCCACCTCCACTCCAGACAGCAGTGTCCTGGCCGAGCAGTAGCAGGTTGTCAGCTGGCAAAAGCCACTCAGCAGTGGTTGAGGAGACCTCATAACACCAGAGGTGTTCTCATGTTTTCAATTGCTTCTCCAGAGGTAGTGTAGGCAAACCACCTTGCAACCCAAGCCCTCTGAATTGGTCATTCCTAGGATGAAATGCAGCAAAGAGGCATTGGTGCAGCAAAGAAAGGCAACCTGGGACATAGGCCATGACCAGAATTTAACAGTTACCCTGTACCTTGCATCCTTCTTAAGCACCTCAGTTTAATGGCCCGTTCTTAAGTTCCCCTCACTACTGACCATGACTCATTGGCAAGGCAGGTTATGGGTCTGTTAGTCACAAACCTGAGCTTCAGCTGACCCTCACCTATCCTTCCAACCTCAAGCCTGAGTTCCAGAGCACATGGCTCAGTCTATGCTTGTTTCCCCACCAGCTCACTCCTTCCTGAACTGCATGAAGGGCATGAGCTAGAGCTTTCTCAGTGACTACTAGCCTTAGCACGCTTAGGCTACCCCTCAAGCCTGTCTTCCTCAGCATTAATTTCAGTTGCCTCCTTAAGGCCCAGAACAAAAGAACATTACAGCAATAGTTTCTTTTTAAAAAGAGAACAAACTTTATTAGAAGTCTCATCACTCATCGGAGTTTTCAAATGAGCACAGTGACTCTGGCAAGAGTTCATACCTCACGAGGCCAGGCCCCCAGAGCCATGCTGGCAACCTATCAGGAGTTCAAGGCTCCTGTTTTTCTAAACATATTAGCCTGCTAACTAGCCTGAATTCACAGCTGCAGTGCATTCAGAGGGCATGTCAAAACTCAGGTTATTTCATGTCATTTTTTAATCTCTCCAGACACCTTATCCTAACCCCTAGCCAAGGCAGATATCTGCCCTGAACAGTGCCAGAGTTAGTGAGATAAGAGGCACGGAGGAGCTAGTAGGGCTGAATCCCCACAGCAGCTGTATCCCACTGCTCCCCTCCACCTCTGCAGCAGGGATAACACCTTGCTCGAGCCAGAGCCACACAGGCTGTTTCAGGGACTCTTTATGTCCATGAAGAAGCTCTTCTAAACAAGTTCTTGGAAAACAGGAATGAAAGGCAACCTGCCTTGCTAAGCCCGAGAGCAACGCAAAGCCATTTTCTCAGCTGTAAGCGAGGCTTTTATGGGAGAGAAAAATCTGAACTGCAGCATTAAATAAGGGGAAATTCACATTAAAACCCCAGGGGAAATGTCAGAACACAATTCTGAGAGGTAAAGAAAACAAGAGAACTGGTCCATACTCCAAGACCTGCTGGCATGGAGCAGATGTTACACTGAGATCTGCCTAAACATTACTGTCACCCCTGAAAATATAGTCACTTATTAGACTCATTAGCCATGCATTCAGCTTTAAGTGGCTTGTAAATGAGCCAATTCCAGAACAGAAAGAGCATCCAGAGAAGGCTCTTCTGTCATCTCTCACCCAGAAAATACCTGGGTGTTTTTAAAGCAATTCAAGGCTAAGTGAACACCTGTTTATGGAGAATGGGCACAACTGTAATTCTTTGCTCTTGTTGGCAAGGGTCTGAGTCAATACCAGTGAAGTCATACTGCTCCAAGATTGGTCTTTGCTTGAAAGCAAATATTAAAAAAAAGTATTATTAAAAACATTGAGGTAAAACATTGCCTCACCTTAAGTACCATCACTTCACACACTCAAAACACAACTCCACTGTACCCCTGCAAGCAGTTTTATCTTGTTCAGAGGCTTTCATCCCAGTACTCCAGGATTAAGGGAGAGTGAGGCTCAGTAAATCTTTGCTAGGTCACACCCCTACCCAGTCCCACTCTCAGGAAGAGAGGATTTTTCAGATCTAATTTTCTGGCTCTACACTGTAAAATAATCCTACCTCCAAAGTGATTACAGATCATACAGATGGTGCCATTACTGGCTGCCGCAAACTGGATAGGTCTGGCATTGCCACCCTCCTTGAGACTGTACCATAGCTGGAGAAGTCAGGGAATCAGAGTTCAGTAGACATGCTGGGCTCATTGGATTTCCACTCAAACCCCTCTTCTGTCAGCGCTCTGGTGTCCCCAGCACTGATTAATCTCCAGGGGTAGCAGACCAGGGCCATCAATTCCACATCACTTTTAGGAGTTCTTTTCACAGGAACAGGCTTCAGTAGCCAGGACCCTAGCCCAGGGGATTGTCATCCACAGCCCTTTAATGAGCTGCCAAGTGCCCATTAGTTTTCACAGGTGCATTCATACTCCTTAGGCTTGTCCAGGAACGGTATTTTTTCAACATTTTCCTCCTGACAAAGTGGCAGATTTCAACCATGAATCCCAAAGATACGAGGTACATGGCCAGGCCTCCAGCCTTGAGGATCCAGCTGGGATCAGGGGATGTCACCATTGCATACATGATGAAAGCTCCTCCTCCGATTCTCAGCACCAGGAAGAGGAGCACAAAGAAGAAATCCACGACCCCTCCCATGAAAGTGTGGTAGCACCCTATTTCCCGCAGAAACCAGCGGGCCTGAAGCAGCGGGTTGGTAATCTCGCTAACAAAGACAACAGCATTGACTTCTGTAGCAGACTTCCCGAGCCACAGCACCATGATCATGCCGCAGATGCTCAGCGTGTGATGGAACAGCATTAAGTCCCCCTCAGTCTGGAAATACAGGCACCAGCCCAGGTCGAAGATGAAGTAACCCAAGGTCAGGGAGAGCACATGGATCTGAAGAGGTGTGTTTGGTGAACCTGAAACAAAATATGTACGTAAGCCTGGGGTCTTATTTATAAGACATTCTTCCACAATATGGAGCAATACAGGTTGCGAGTATCCCTCTTTCCTCCTTAGTCTCCAGCATGGCACTTGGGCCATAGGATAAGGATGGAAACTTTGATGTCTGGTTCTGCTCTCCCTCTACACTTACCCAGCAGACCCATCCTGCCACACTTCTGTTTCTTTTTTCCCCTTTTTTTTTACCCTCATCAACAGACCTATAATATTTAATGATAGAAAGTGGCAAACAAAAACTCCACAGCCAAATGCCAGGAGTTATTACACCCTTAAAGATGGGAACAGTACCTAGACGGTTGACAACACGTTGCTACACCTAATGCTGCAATAAACTCAAGCTGCCAACCTGAACACTTTCAGTACGTACGTAGATAAGCAAGCAAGAATAACAATATTAACAGTAAGAGGTGGTAAGGGCTGGAGAAGGAGCAGGGAAGTTAAACAAAATCCTGACAAGGACATGTGTCAGGGTAAGCCTCCAAACATACCTGCATGGGTCAGAGGCCAGGGGCCGTCCCAGAGCGCGACGTAACCCGAGAGGCAGGTGACAACCACCCCATGCAGCAGAGTCACCAAGCGACAGCTCCACTCGCAGGACCGGTGCCTGTTCCAGGCGCAGAAGCAGGCGTACAGACACAGCCAGGCAGCGAGGCTGCCGGTCACCTGGAGAGCGATGGAAACCATCCTGCTGGACATAGGGGGAGGACAGGATGAGCACGGCAGCTTCTCAGCAAGTTAGGGAGGCTGCTGGTCACCTGGAGAGCGACGGACACCATCCTGCTGGACACAGGGGGAGGACAGGATGAGCACGGCAGCTTCTCAGCAAGTTCATCCAGGTTAGCTCCCCCAGGACCCAGCCCATTTGCAGAAACCCCAGGGGATGAAAACAACAGCCCACCGACCCCAGCACACCCGCGAGCAGATCAAACCCAACAACTCCACCGACACACGTCTG